GGAGGGAGGTGGAATTGGGTGAAAAGCAATCTCTCCAAGTGAGAAACTAAAACAAAATATTTGCCAGTGCTAATATTTTTACCCCTTTTCCGATGAAAAAACTCTTTCAGCCATTTTTTTAAGATCTACCATTTTGCGCATAAACTTCTTCCCCCTTAATCCTCGAGAACATCATGAAAAAGAAGCTAGTTACCTTGTGCAACTCGGTAAGTGGCATCAAATCCTTTAAAAGTGATAATCTTGTCGGACTTGAAATTAATCGATATCTGTTCGCCATTTCCCAGGATGTATACTCGAGGCAGGAATGGAAAACCATGGTATTTTGTCATTCCGAATCCATAACGGAATTTTTTCATCCAATCGTCGTCGTCATCATCGTCGTCATCGTCATCATCGTCATCGTCATCATCACAATCGTCATCCAAGAAATCGTCGTGTCTCCCTGTAAACCACGAATAAGCCCCGTATATGCCACTCAAACTACGTATCTCCCGAAAGCCACGGAGAATCTTGACGTGATCAAAACTACACAAAAGGGGAAAAAAAGCTTTACTAACAGTTATGAAACCAAGTTACATTACATACACAACGAAAGTATGAAATTCACATATCTGAAGTGCATTTATAGAAACGTATTTGCACGATTCTCACAGTAAAGAGTACTATTCAAGAAATAGTGAAAATCGGACCTGAAAAAATTCAGGCCTGTAGCTCAATTGGTTGTACTAGTATCGCAGAGATCAGTGGTTCGAATCCCATACGGGCCTGAATTTTTTCAGGTCTGATTTTCATTATTACTTATATAGTGCTCTTTACTGCGAAGACCGTGCAAATACGTTGCATTGCATAGTATATTATTTTCTTTTGTGCTTTTGAAATCAAGATAAAAGAGGAAAACTGACAATCGCGCCCATAAACTTGTGGAAGCTGGATACGAAATATCTGGAAAATTTTCAGTTAAACGTCTGGTTTAGCCAAGTTACTTTAAAACAGAACCATACGTATAAGATATAATTCAAAAGAAAAGGGAGATACGAGGATAGCGTTTTTTGCGTGCCCTTCCCAAGGTAAGTAAAGTTTACCTCTTTTATGAAAGTATTGAAATGATTAAGGTTTTCAAGATTTCTTTGTTTTGTATGGTCTTAATAGTTCTATCATAGTTTGAGCAGTTCTCAATGTGACCCTAGGCTTTTATTTCCGAACCTCGAGCTGACACAGAAGCGTTTTGGGAAATAATAAGGGCCACGTCATTTCACATGATTTGATGATTTCCATTTCCTCCTTTCACTACAACTTGATGAAGAACAATCAACTTACCACCGTTCTGTTTCAAAGGCGCGGAAATTCAAAACCAAAGTTGATCCAAGAGGAACAGTGATAGTCCATTTACATTCAACATTGTTCGGATAATTTGCTGGAAAACCGGGAGAAGTAAGGTTCCCGGATGGTGAAGCCAGAGGACCGCCACATAGGGCTAATAGAAAGAATAGATTGTTAAGGCAAGGAGATTTAGGAGATGGATTGTCAAGAGGTAATAATTAAACCTCTACAACATAAGAATCAGATTACGTATTTGTCATACAATTCTTAAAACATTTCCTGAGCCGTTGACAAGGACAATTTGCCTAACAATCAAAAGCTTCTCTTCATCTTAATGTGTGATACAGGGGTATTATTTCTATTATTATCATCAACAAATGTCGTGATCAGTATTAAAATTACCAGCAGATATCAACTTAGGATTGCTGTATCTTTATTGTTTTGGATGATCTCTTGATTGTATTGATGTATCATCACAGTTATTACCTTTCCCCATGGTGTAATGGGCAAAGAATCCTCTCCTTGTCACCCATGGATCGGATTTGAACACAATCCTCACGGGTTCCCCATTACCGTGAACGGAGACAACTTTTGCTTTTCTGTCTGCTCTCAGAGGCTCGGCAAACATGTAATTTCTCTTTCCATTCTTGTCATAGTTATCATCATCATCATCGTCATCATCATCGTCATCACACTCGTCGTCGTCGTTCTCATCATTTCTATCCTTGAAATATTTGTTGTCATCAGATTCCCCTCCTTGAGTCAGACGACGGATCAGCCTTCTTCCCTGATAGACTTTCACCAAATCATAGCTGCAATAAATAAGAAATTATAATACTGAGGAGAACAATAATAATAACGATGGTGATGATATTGATAATGATGACGATGATGATAATTTTAATAACAATGGTAGCGATATTCATAACGCGAACAAATATGATATTGTTGGGATAACTATGAGAATAATAGTGGTTATGATGTTGATAATAACGATTATGATAATCAGAGCAATAATAACGATAGTGGTATTCATAATCAGAACCAAAATGGTATTGTAAGGATAACTATGATCATAATAAGAATGGTGATGATATTGATAATGATGACGATGTTGATTTATAGTAATATTAATTGTAGTCATGTTAACAATGAGAACAAAAACTTATATTAGTTGTCGAGAGATTTTAAGTTATTTGGTTGTTTTCCACTTCCCTTGACATTGAATACTGTAAATCGCATCGACTCTAGTTGATTTTGTGGTTCGTGATTTTCTAGAGGAAGTTTTCGCAATTGAATGAGCAATCCAAAAGCATTTCAAAACATCACGGGTGACAATGAATGCAAGAGCAGGCAATGTATAATTTTTTTAAATTACATCTTTTAAGTAACAAATCCACTTTCTGAAGCCGCTTTAAAAGCACTTTTCAACCGTTGAAAAAAATGCCTGTATATTTCACCTTTAAATCTATCATTTCATACCATATATGTGTCGAGAAAGGTTATGGTTTATACACTAAGACTTCTTAATTACGTAAAAGAGCTTCAAATTTCAAAGGAGCACAATATTGGAATCCCTTCTGACGCTTTGCAAACTCGGTGTTAATGCAGAGAGGAAAAAGGAAGGCAGATAAAGAAAAGAAGGCATAAAAAGAAAAACTGAGGTCATAACCAAAACAGGTTTTGACTCACCAAGGCTCTGTTTCGAAGAAGAGAAAGTCAATCCTGAATTGTGAGCCCGAAGGTACCGTTACGGTCCACACACAATACGCGTTGCTGGGGTAGTTACCAGGGTAATTAGGAGATGCTAAGTTCCCGGATGGGCCGACTAAAGCACCACCGCACTGCCCTGGGGCCACTGAAAGAGTTCAAAGAAGAATTGAACGTTAATAAAAGGTAAAACATATTTATCTATTTAACGACAAAGCTACAAATTTCAAATATTCTTATTCTGTTTGATTACTCCTAATAAATGATTAATTTTTGATCAAGTTAGCCGGTTCCATCTTCATGCAGAAGACACAGGACACGTCACAATAAAACACAGTCTCATTGACCTATTATTTTCATCGTTTTCCTCTTTTGTCTTTTAATTCCCTTCTGTTTTAGGTCAACGGTCTTCTGCACCAAGTCATGAGCGAGTTAGCTTTGGTCGCGCACTTGCATGCTCCTCAGACATGAAAGGGATTTGTCAATGGTTAGCAAAGGAATGTAGAGGTATACACCAATTAACAGGGCCTCTGGCTTGAATCCATGTTAGGTCTATGCGCTTCTTTGAAAACCTCGCAGCTTATGTTAAGCTTTTATTCATCACTAGTAGAGAATGATTATTATGAAAAGCCGTTAACTGTATGGCTATTTTTAAAGTAAAATGCTTAGCGACATTTAAGCGATTCATAAAATAATTCCTCAGCTTCACCTGGTCGAGGAGGCGGTCTTGTGGTTGGACCAGGAAAAGGTAATGACTGTGTCACTATGATGTGCGCCAGCACAAACTACGGAAAAATAACAAGAGAAAATGATTACTGCTTCTCTACACTGTTTGCTAGGAGAAATATAATAAGTTACATTGTCTATTGTAATTATATGACTTTGTGTAAGCGTTTGTTTAGATAGTGTAACACCGCATTATTTCGCTCAGTATGACAATGTAAAATGTAAATAATATTCATTAGCCAAATATCGCTCTCTCATTTTATGATTTTTTTTTTTATGTGTTTCTATAAAAGTAAAACTGTTCTACTGGAAATCAATCCATTTTGTTTTCTTGGCGTTGTACATGATTTGTAACAATTTATTCAACTTTTCAATTTACATAAGTAGATTGGCCAATCATCTTTGAATGTTATAGCATTTACTACAGTCAAACTGGGGAGCTAATATAGTGTTCTGATAGGTTTAAATAAGTCAGTCATTCTACTAAAAGTTTCAAACGATCAACCGTTCTCAAGCTGAGCTTAGTAGAGGAATATATCAATTAAAATGCCTAGAAAAGTTAACTCTAGTATCAGTAAGAATTGAAGCTATTCAGAGAGACACGTCTTGAACTCGTAAGATTACAATGCTTGAAATTGAATAAACCTTAGACAAAAAAGCAAAGCTAAACAAAATCCAAACTAAAACAAAAACTAAAGGGAATATCAAAGTAGCCTTTCTGCATAGAACCATCATTCGTTGTGCACTTTGGTGGAAAATGCATTTTGTAATTGTATCGGCAATTTCCTTTGAGGCTTGAAAATCGAGAATGTGATACTGAAGTAAGCATATACAAGCCATATTGCAATCGCTCGAATAAGTACCTGAAGTAATTGATAGATAGCATAATTATGTGTTTTGTTACGGCAGTAATTTGCTCGCTCAGTAGAAACTTTTTTCTGGTTAATTATTATTATTTCTTTGATGGTAACAGGACAAAAACTGAAATTGAGAGCTTCATGAAGGAAACGACATTGACTCTTGGCTCCTATGGCCTATAGCATAATAGATTTTCGCTATTGCATAAATAGCGCTATCTACTGCGAGGATCGTGCATCATACGTATCTAATACCGCAGTTCAAAATACAAGAACTTCTTATATTCATTGTATCTCATTTATCACTTTCACGGGTTTATTACGAATCAACTTAACGGCCTGCTCCCAGTTGGCTTGTTAGCTCAATTGGTAGAGCGCTGCACTAGTATCGCAGAGGTCAGTGGCTCGAGTCCCGTACAGGCCTGATTTTTTTCGGGTCTGATTTTCGCTATTGCATAAATAGCGCTATCTACTGCGAGGATCGTGCATCATACGTATAATAGCATTGGTAAGTCATCCTAACTACTAGCCGGTTTACCTCTAGAGTAATGCTTCCTCTACCTTATCCATGACCTAGAGCTAATTGACCACTGAATTTACGGAAAATGCTTAAGATCAACACTTCCAAAGTCTCTTGAAAACAATCGGAAGAAAATGATATATTTTAAGGCTTACCGTCAATGCAGTTACAGGAACCTTCATCTTCGCTTGACAGCTTGCTACGGTTCCTTCTTTACTCATTTCTCCGAAATGCTTGAGTTAACTGCGTTTTATATGCCCCACAGATCAATGATATGGTTCTCCAACTGGACAGAAATATGCGGTGTTTTCCTCCACTTAAAAATTCAAGTGCCGGTGTGGCCTTTGCGGATTCACCGTTCCGCTACAAATTAAAGATAGCTGTATTAATCCTTAAACTCTAACCATGATTTAAAGGCAGACAGTGTGGCTACGTGGAGAAATGAGTTCATGGCCATTTGAACAACTTTATTGCTTTCTGTAATGTATCGAACCTTTTAAAACTGTTGAAGTTCAGTTGGGGTTAGGGGGGAACCACTTTTGTTTACAAAGCCAATATTAATTGCCAAGTACTCGGAATGATTTGATCAACCGCAAACTTGAGGAATATCCTCTAGCTAAGCCCAATAACGTAAACGATGTCGGCATACAGTCTGTGATGTTTCCTGCAAAACCTAAACTATTTCGTAGTTAACTATATAGTTGAAGGGTGCAATGGATAGCTTGAATTGTTGTTAAAGAACTGTCGATCCATTTAACGGTTGAATATATTTAGCTGTCAAAGTGCAAAAACAAATGTACCTCTTTTGTTGTTTAATTAATGACATCATTCCCCTTAGACTGATGACGCAAACCTGGTTTTTTCATTATTTTTTTTATTCCTGTTCTCCGGCTGAGAAGCGAGTGTCTTTAAAGTGTTAAAAAATTAGATGAATCGAAAAGAGAATGGCCAATATCTTATGCTGCAGACGTAATGGGTAGACGTTGGTTAAAAGCAATATAAATGATAAAACCTTTAAAAAAAGGATTATTTAACAAACAAACAAAGAGCGGAAGAAAATGGTTTGATGCGCCGGCTCCTCCTTAAGCCCCAAAAAACTAAGATAACGTGTATCTTTAAATTTTGTTTACATTTGGAAATTTACGACAAAGGTCGGAAACATGATGCAAGCTATTCCTCAAATCAGTATGGCTCGAAGAGACAAATATCCAAGGATTTTATTGGCATCCTTTGGGACAGGTTATATTTTCAGACGCTATTTTTGGTCTTATCACGAATATCACCGGGGGACAATCGGTTTTTACCTTATCGCAGCAGGAAAAGTATACGATACAGCTTCTGCATCGTAATTCTTGTTTTGAAAGAGTGTAAACAAAAGCATACCCAGTGCATGGTAATGGGAAAGGAAGTCCTTAAAATAAGAAACTGAAGAAGTGATAAACCACGAAAAATGTTGTTCCCCGGCATCCAGTCAAACGAGAGTTTTGTCGAGTGCATTTCAAGGGCAAAAATATTGGCACCGATTTATCGAACAGTGCCTCATTTGAAGATAATTCACGGGAAAAAATTAATCCTAAATAGTCAAACAAGATCCTCGTGGAGGTTTCAAATAAGTGAAGGTCTATTTGACTGTAGAATTCTGAGAAATTAATAGCCCAGCGCTGTTCTGTTCATTTTTCGGAAAGAAAAAATGATTTATCTATTAATCAAACAGCTGTCTACGTGATTCATCTGATTAACGAATGATATTATGGTGAATTGATGAATAAATATTAATAAATATTGTGGATAAATATTAATAAACGTGATTTAAGCTGTTAACTAGACTTTAAACTATCAGGAATAGTAAGAAAAGCCAATAATTATGGGTGATTAGATGGAAATATATTTGTGTCAGCTTGTAAGACGTCGTTCCAGTTTTTTTTTTTTAATCTTTTCTTAAGACTAATATTCTGGTCTTCTTCATCTGCAAGTCGTAATGAATCATTTTAAAAGATACTGATTTTCCCGAAAGAGATTATTTCTGTAATGATGATAAATTGGAAGTTAAGAATTCAAACGAAGAAAAGTACGTCATCTATCTTGTGTTCCATTTTTAGAAGATCTTACTACGTTGAGTCGTGACAGAGTTAATGAAATCCGATAGCCTATTAAGCTCTTGTCCAAAATCTAGCCAAGACAAGTTAAGATTAAACTATCATTAATGATATGAAATATCTGCCGGATCACAGAAGATAGAACTGTCTATTGCTAAATTTCAGTTCATAAAGTAAAACCTATCAGTTACTTTCAGATGCATAGTCAAATTATGTTATGACAATCAGAAAAAATAGCCTTGCTAGAACTTTTGCAGACCGAAGCAGTCGAAATACCATAGCAGATCCAGTAGCTAAGAGGATATTGCAATCAGCAGGCCTCGAACTTTAATTCATTGTAATGAAACGTCACTTTCCTTTCACTCTGACCACATTTTAAGTCCAGATTGTTTAAACTGATTTATATTGGTTGATCATATCACCTAAAATATGAAGCAACTACGCACATTTGAAACTGAATATTTCATTATTGATGTATGAGCCCTGTATGGAAACTTTTATCTTTCTCTTCAAAATGGTGTGCTTTCAAACTCTTGATGAAATCAGTCGACAGAAAGGCTAGACAACCGTTGACTGTTTCTAGTTAAGGAGGTTAAAGGGGGCTTTGAATGGAGAAACACTATTTACTGTCTACAATGATGCAAATGCCTTCTAAGAGCAATACATAGAATTTCCGCAACTTCTGCAGGCCAAAAATAATATATATTTGTTATTTATCGTAAGAGTGACAGGAGAATAGGTCGACCAGGAGTTGTTCTTGGTACAAGAAGATGGGAAAAAAAAGAAAAGTAACAACAAAAAAGCGATTAAAATAACAAACAAACCGAGAAGCAAATTCTTCAAATGAACAGTTTAACAGATATCTGAATTTTTATCTCCGACGCTTGCTCTACCCATTAGTTCAATGAATATTTTGCACATTTTGTTTATCGATCTTAAGGTCATTTACCGGACTTTATTGTGGTGTGAAAGCGCTTTTCAAGACAGCCGAGGAATTCTCAGATTTAAAAAGAACTATTCAGAAAGTCGAAGAAAGAAAACTGTTTGTTTATAAGGCGTGTTATTAATATCAACCGGGTCCAACCCGGGGTGATTCATTTTCATTGTTTGCTTTCTCTCGTCTGAACCTCAAACCCAAACAATCGACCTAAATATAATTGATGATTGTCAAGTCTCGATGGATTGTTGTGGAACGTTTATATTTAAAAGTAGAACTATACCAGCAATTTCGCCAAAATATTGATGTAAACTGTTGAAATGTTCAATTGAAAGTGTTATCATGACATTAAGATCATTATTAGAATTGATTATAATTTTGGAGTCGGACAAAAAATAATTCAGCTCGTGAAATCCTTTCGATACTTTTCTAAATTAGGAGGCTCCAACTCGGAAGTCCTAATAGGTTGTTTTAGTGAAGTGGAAGAGTACCGAAAAAGCCAATGGCCCTCACTACGCATTAAGTGTATATTTGTTGTGAGGAATTGTGACGCGCTATAGATCTGAGAGATCCTCTCAAATGCTTCCTAATTATCCTGGTTCGGTGGCAGCTTGGATGTTTTATTTATATATACTTCTCGGTAAAGTTCGAATAAACTGCAATATTTCTATAATTAGAGCTTGTTTGTCCCTTCGATTTGTCAAATGTCTCCTCCAAAAAAATTCATAAAGAGGTTAGTAGTTAAATTAAATTTTGTGATTCAGTGATAAGTTTCAGCATATCCGAACAATTTAAAGCAATCTGGTATAATCTAGCAAAGAAATATAACATCCCCTCTCAAAAGAATGTTTTTTTCCCCTCTCCATTATGTAAATTAAATTCAATAGCCTTTGGTCTTGTTTCCTTCCATAGCAATATTCATCACTCGAAGCTTCAAGAGCCACAGAGATTTTTATGTAAATTATTTTACGCGACAAAATGGGGCAAAGCCCCTTTTCAGTATTGATGCCGGTGATGTGTTTACCGAGTAAAATATTATTGACGCCGATAAAAACCTACTGAGGGAAAAAGGTTCAATTAGAAGTAATACTAAGGACTAGGATTGATGGCGATTAACTTGGTATAGCTGCAAAAATTTGCAAGAGTCCCACTATATCATCAAATTTTCTGATCGGCTGATAGACTATATATATCGTGTTTATAAATCAAGTATCAAACCTGGCCATCTTCAGAAGACCTAAGGTGTGTAGCAAGACAACTTTACGGACGACGGATGATGAAGTCTTTCCTCCTCGCCTTGACGGTAAGCTACAAAAAGTTAATCGCACTTTGGAAGAAAAAAAAGTCTTGACTCTTACTAGGGCGGCACAGTACATTGTACACACAAAAGCGTACCTTTTCTTCAAACGCCATGCTAGATTTTACCCGATACCTAACAACAATTTAATGAAAACTGTTGAATTTTTGTAGGCAGTGATAACACTCACATGGACCGTAGAATCGGCGCCATATCCTAATTTGATGGATACAGAAATAAACTATTTCCTTAGACACCAGGAACAAGGTATGAAATCACAGATGGAATTAAACCAATGTAATAACACAAGGTTCCTCGAGGTTATGTTTTCCTATGTATTAGGTCATTGGAATCTTTAACACGCAACATCTTGTCAACATATCTCCCTTCAAATTGTTTTATTTCAAATCAAGATAACCTAGTTGTCTCCTTGTTAACTCTACCTATTTTTTTTTTGACTGCTTGTCGGCTTATGTTTTGAAATTGGGTTGCATATGAATCATGTCTGAGTGTTATTGTAATTTGGCAGTGACAGCCCACAGTTTTGAGCAAAGGAATTTTTTGATCAAAATAAAACCGAAAACATAGTTAATGTCAGAAGAGGTAGCGAAAGTTTGTGAAGTTTTTAAGTTTCTTCTTCCCGGAGTACCCTTCTTTTTGCATTCTAAAATTCACTCCTTTATTGAACTCGTTTTCCAGCTCCCGTGGCTCCCGCTGGTTTGAGATGTTACATATGCTCCGCGAATTGTTCCACGACTCAGACTCCAGGTAACGGCTGCAGATCCGGCCGTAGCTGTTACACCATGCAGGCTTTTGATACCGCCCTAAACACCTCTGTGGTAAGAAAGGGATGCATTCCACAATTCTTCTGCGCTCAGAATCGGGCATGCACGTTTTTGAACCAAACTCGAAATGGTGCATTGGGATCGTGTTCCATCAATTGCTGCAGTACTCCATTATGTAATGGTCCACCTCTTCCGACGACTCAACCCATAACAACCACAGCACCACCAACCACGACCGTGCCTCCAACTACGACCACTGCACCTCCAACGACAGTTCCGACAACTGTGCCGACCACAGCACCAACTACAGCCCCAATTATACCCGGTAATTAAGAAGCTAACCACATCGGTTGAGACGATTTATTTTTTTTCTGATAACTCAGTAATTTTGGTAGAGAATTTTTCGGCGGTCACATTAGCTTGATACTAGTAACGTTCCAAGTTGTAAAGAGAGAGGGTGAATTTTTTTGCCGAAATAGCAGAGGTATTAAAAATTTTCAGAGAAATATTGGTAGGAGTTCGATAATATGGGTACAATATAACAATCATAACGGTCAAAAACGTCACACAAATCGAATTGGTTCTCTCTGAGTGCATGATAAACAAACTGTCATTTATATATTTTCTTATATTGCAGGACAATATTTCCAAGACGTTGAAGATTCTATATTTTTGTTTTTCAGGGGTATGCGGTGGTCCACTTACTCCTCCATCTGGACAGTTTTCATCGCCATTTTTTCCACTCAGTTATCCAAACAATGCTCACTGCGTTTGGACTATTATGGTTCCACGCGGGTCTGTTTTAAAGATTGATTTTCTCGCATTCGACACTGAAGAATGGTGGGTGAATAAATGTTACTTGTTCCCTTGCTTGATACGCAATGTATTTCGCCCTTATGATCTATCATCGTTGGAATTTTTTTGTGTACCAACTGAACATATCCCAAATTCTTCACGGCTATGGCTTAAATGGATAGAAGCACAGAATTCGCGCGAAGGAATACAAGAATTTCAAGATTTAGTAGTTCATGGCGTAGAATTTATATACTTAAGCTGTTAAATTCGCTGGCAACAACCTTAAAAATGTTGGCGATTGAGTTTGGAATCCCCCAGAAATAATTAAGGGTCCATTCATTATTGATCATTGGTGGGAAGAAGTTAAAGGGGAATCACATGGTTTTTAATGGGGAATGGAAGGGGAAACCAGTCGTCGTCAACAATGTTTAAAGGGGGGACTTCAGAAAAGTGACTGCAAATTAACTGCCAATGTCGGGGATCATGTAAATTCATCGAGACCTCAACCAAATTTCGATCCCCGTCCCCTTGGGCGATAATTGATACCGGTCCCTTGGTGAACAGAGATAACTGAGTGTCTTTGGAGCTCTAAAACCATGTTTATTATCCAACTGTGCTTCGTAGAGTTTAAATAACGTCCAAAACGAGTACAAATATCTCCCAGTATTTGTACTCCAGAGAATCGTAAATAGATATCCGCGAAATGTTCCCGCACTGAAAGAAAAATTTGGCGTGTTGGATAATAAAGTCTTAAAGGTTTTTTTGTTTGTATTTTGCCTTACGGACTCGTCAAAATACGGCACAACTCGTAAAAATACTCAGAAATACTACACAACAAAAAGTTTAATAAGATATATGTATTTCCTGGTTTCTAAAAAGACCAGTTCAAACAGTTGCATCACGTACATTATATAGTCTATTTTTTGCTTCTTTTTTACAGCTTTGATTCCCTTCATATATATGTGGGAAGAAGGTTGGTTAGACGTCTCTCTGGGGATGATGCTGACGATGACGACGATGATAAATTTGAAAAATGTGACAAGGATGACAAGGATGATGGTGATGATGGGGAAGGTATCTTTGGCTGGTACTTCAACCGAGATGAAGACATGGATGATAATTCTGTCACTATTCAAGGAACAGGAGAGATGATAAGACTCGTTTTTGTGTCCGACTACAGTATTACCAAGAGAGGATTCTTTGCTAGATATAATGTATTGAGAGGTAAGTTGATGTGGTGTAAATAAAGTAAAAACCTTGTAGATATGTTGTGCGTTAATAGTGCGCATCGACCGATATTTGAGGAAATTAACGTCGAATTCTGGGATACAGATAACACAGATAAAAAACATTTTGAGGAGCTCTCCTTAACGAGCAGTTATTGATTAGCACCAACTGAGGAGTTGGGTACGATATTGTACGGTTCATTATGCTTCGCAGTTTTGACTTGAGCGATATTTCACATCAGACAGATACAACTTAAATATTGTGTCATGTTTAGCCGGAAAGTAAAAGTACTCCTCTATGTTTTTATCGAATTATATTGGGATCATGATCCTTTCGGTTCAACTAAGATCTGATATGGAAAGGCCATCTGTATTGTTTGATCGAATTGTGTACCTGCCGTAAATAAATATACTGTCAGACGAGAATTGAACATGTCCATGATCAACACATGCCATTGACTGAAACGCAAGCGCTATAACATCATGTCTTTATGAAATACAAAATAAATTTTAAACCTGTCTCGAAACTCTCTGTTTGAACCCAAGTTCGATATCTGTTATCATTTATAACTATCAGCGTGGCTACTGATTGCTGATCATTTCGAAAAACTTAAAAATGTCGTATTTTCTTTCGCACTAGCACTTTGTGGGGGCCCACTGGCGTTGCCATCCGGAACCTTCAGATCCCCAGGTTATCCTGGCAAGTACCCGGATGACGTCAAGTGCATCTGGACAATCAGAGTTCCACCAGGATCTACACTAGAATTGGATTTTCGCTTCTTTCAAACTGAAAAATGGTAAAGAATATTGCACTAGCCTTTTCAGAGTGCTTTCCGGTTTAATGTCGTGGGACCGAGAAAGAAAAAAAAGGAAAATATCCCAAAAAAACATTTAACAAGGTGCCAGTGAGTCATTATAAAGCCGCCGCCCAGTGAGTCATTATAAAACCGCCGCCCATTAGCCTAATGGATAGTGCGCTGGACTGCTGTGCGGGGGGTCGAGGGTTCGAGCCCCGGCCGGACCAACACTCAAGGTCTTAAAATAATTGAGAAGAATTTGCTACCTTTCTATTACATCTGAAAATGGTTAGATATTCTAGTCTTCTCGGATAGGGACGAATAAATGGAGGTCCCGTCTCCTGCAGGGTTAGGGGTAGGAGACGTTAATTTCCCACGCACGAGATTACTGTGTGATGGATGTCCTCCCCGGGGTGGGATGGTGGGTACAAAGGCGTTAGGTGTCAATTGGGACGAAAGTCCTGTTCCTTTCCCCTGCCACTCCCGTGGCGAATGGATTAAACCTAAACCTAAACCTGTACGCAAGAACGGTAAACGCGAGGAACAAAAACAGGTTTGGTTTTAGTTTTGCATTTGATATTTTGAGAGAATGGCGCCAGTTAATTGAATGAACCACAAAGCGAAGTTCATATAGCCGCACAATCTTGGAGTATTATGAATTTCAATTGAAAACTAGCAAGTTGACTGTTAGCGATAACTGGCT